TGACCCAAGATGGCTGCTTTACTCAAGATGGCAGCCAAAAATTTGCCAAATTTTTGCAGTTGTCATGTTTTGTTTAATCTAGAATTAATTTCAATCATGATAGAGGCAACACATTATCAAATATAAATTATGTACAGTATGACCCGTATTTTCCTCTCTCTGTACAGTATGAAGCTTTATGATTAGAAAAAATCCAATATGGCCACCATGCACCCCGTTATGGCCCAAAGGTGCGCACAACATGCACCTTATTTGCAAGATCAAATATCTTCTTAAATGAAGTATATTTCATGTTTCCTTTGCAATTTATTGGTAAAAGACAATTGTTTATTTTTAAAGGTAAAGCTAAGACCATATCTTTTTCAATATGGCTTCTTTATCCAAGTGGCTGCCATTATTTTACCAATTTTCGCAACTGAGGCACATGTTCTATAATGTAAAAATTATTTCAACCACGGTAAAAGCAATATTTCATGAAATGTAGATTCTCTTAAATATTTCCTACATTTTAATATCTGTAAAGAAAATGGTCAGGCCATTTTCATTAGAGAAAAATCCAACGTGGCTGCCATATACCCCTTAACATTATAAATCAATGGTACCATGTGTACTTTACTGATAGTTGAAATCTCTTATTTAATGAAGTATATTTTTCAGTTGGCAGTGATATAGATTTTATAGATGACATCTAACACTTGTCATTTCTAGATGGCATGTAATGAACTTTTCCTTATATATGGAGTGAATGTCGTATACTTTAAAAATTTAGAATGCTTAATTCAAGGGCTTGAATTAGGAAATTACGATTTCGACTAACTTAGTGGATAATGAAATCTTAAGATTCCACGGTTCATGTCAGATTTACATAAGGTCGCGAAAATAAAACCCAAGTCCACATAATGACCACTTAAACGATTTATTCGTTGACGTTTCTAAGTCTCCTTAGTCTCCTAACTTCTTGAAAACACGTTTGTCCCGTTTTTCCCAATATCTTCTCCTCTTCTTCTTTTCTCTCCCAAAGGTATCAATTCTCATCGCTGATATACCAATTTCTTATCTTTCGTGGATCTAAATGTCAATTATAATTGTACAATTAAATTCTTCACATGAGCATTATACAAAGAGGCCGCCACAAAACTCAAGAGCTGTTGAACCACAACAGGTTACATCATGTGACTTCATAAAATATCTTTTTAATCTTAATGTCGGAAACGACAGGCATGTATGTTACTATAATGTTGCCATGGAACATTACTTTTAACTTAATTGACAATTAATGTTAAGTTGGGCTTATTTAGATGATGTGTACCTTTAAAACTTGATTTCAGAGGTAAAACAGAATTACAAACAGATTTAAAAGTATGTGGTAATTATCCTTCACATGGTATATGAAAAATTATTAACCTTTTTTCAATATAAAGCACCTATCTAATGAAGGAATAATTAAATTGAATTTTTTTTCTTGTATGAAATTTTTGGATCACAAATTAAAAAAAAAACAGGCCTATCCCAGCAGGCAAATCATGTTGTTTCAACGTTGAAACAATGTTGAACTATAACGTTGACAAGACGTTGGATAAACATTGGATTTGAAAGTTGGATCAACGTCAAATAACAACGTTGTATCAACGTCAAATAACAACATTGTATCAACCCCAGTTGTTAGACAACATTCTTACATGAAAAGACATTAAAATGCCCTGAAATGTTTTCATTTTTGGTACAAAACACAGGTACACAATTATAACGTGCACTGTAAAAACATCGAAGGGCCTGCTTTGTCTCATTTCTTGAACCATTTAGCTCTTAAGCATGTTTTGCACCTAAGCATGTTACAGCCTTTTAGCGTGGATGTGTTTAGCAGTAGGAAGCGTTTGATGGCTAAATATATGTAGGGTGTATATGTATGGCCTTTAAGTTAGGATTTCCAAGGTTAAGTCATATATATATATATATATATATATATATATATATATATATATATATATATATATATCACGGAGAATAAAGTTAATACACTATGGAAAAGTGCTCCACCCATGGTGAACGACCACGGGGAGCTAGTACAGAAAGACAAGAAACCGAACAAATTAGTCTGCTCTCTACATTTTAATTAAAAAAGTCCCTACAGCTGTTCCTTGTCTTTATATATATATAACAAAGTCACAGTCACCTCAACCTGTCTATCTATAACAAGGTACCGAGAACTGTTAACTGTTAACTTCACTCCATCACATTTACAGCCACTTATTCATCTTAGTATTAGCCGACCTTGCAAGAAAGTTTATTGGAATGTATTTCTAAATAACAAGTTAAGAAAATTCAAAAGTTCACTAAAGACACAAAAAACTGTCTCTTTTACTTTAAAGCACCTTTTTAAATATTTTGATTAAGTTCTTTACAGAATTGATAAATAAAGTATCATGCTTCAATAATTAATATTTTAAATTATAATCCATGTCTTGCATCACGATGACCACATAACAACGTTGAGTCAATGACCATAATACAACGTTGATTCAACATCACATTATGAAGGCGTTTTGACGTGGCAGGATAAACATTGATTTGACGTTGAATTTAGGAACATTTATGTGTGATCTGGTGACTCGCTCTGGATTATCGCACAAACAATAACAACAACAAACTGGCTAGCAGAAAAATGTTGACACCGATATGGCTGGCGATGCTCACCTCTGCAAAGAGAAACGAAAACCAAAATATTACAAGGGTAAACCCCATTGACACAGGCACTGTCACACCTGGCCTAAAGCATTAACATAGGAGAAAAATTACCCATGTGCAGACAAACCTACTGGCTGTGTAAGGGACCATTCCCGCAGATATTTGGATCTATCTATCCCTCTAGGGAGTCTGACTAAATTGCTATCAAATTAACCAGTTTTAATATCTGTCACGCCAAGTAAAGCTGTAAGGGGGTAATTCAGCTGATTCAGTAGGCCTGACAGACAATTAAGCCATTAAGTTGATAGCAATTTAGTTAGACTCCCCAGTTAACTCTTGTGGTAAAAAGCCAGCAACAAAACAGATGGGAAAGCTAATGAAGTCTATGGCTTTTACATCTTGTACTTGGCCTCTATAATTAATTTAGAACCAGTGGAAAAAAAATAAATATAATTATAGGTATACTTTTAGAACTAATCATTCTCAAATGTACCAGGGAGACAAAACAGTCTAAATAACTGACCAGCCTTTTAGATTTAAATCATTTCATTAGAAATGGTATAAAACATCACATCCAATTGCAGGGAGGAGTCAAACAATACTTTGTGAGTTGGAAAAAGACATGCATGGTTTGATTTGGCCTGGCAGGAGAATTCAAGATAGAATACCTTTAATCAAGAAAAAAAAAAAACACATCTAAAGGATTCAGCAGCAGCAAAAAGCAGAGAGGCACACCTAACACATTCTGGTTGCTACGATAATGCGTTTTTCGATGACACTTACCTTCGCTCTGCGTGGTCATTTGTAAAGGACTCGCGGCATCACTGATAGTATCTGAGGGAGAAATTGACGTGACCAAAGAAAAAAATGAATGTTTAAAAGATATAGTGTTGCGTGATGGAAGATTCAGGTTTAATCTGGTGCAAGCTTTCGTTTAGCATGGCATCAAACACACTGAAATAATCTAAAATTGATGAATCTATAGAGGTGAAGAGGTAAATTGAGAACTAATGTCGTATTCTAAGACCTTTGCCATTCTTAAGCAATAGGCATGAAATATTCATACATTTTCAGGCAATAGATCACAACTTCTTTAAGAACGAATAAAAAAATTTGTCCCTTGGATAAAGTGATCACCTTTAACCAAAATGAATCATTTCCATTTCTGGCAGTGTAGCTTTTTTGAGAGAGAGAGAGAGACAGAGAGAGAGCACTTCATTGGGGAGGAATAATGAGACCTGTGGCAAACATAAAAGACTAAAGTGGCCTCAAAACAATATTTAGGGTTTTGAAAGCCAGTAACTCAATAAAATGATCAGTAAGTACAAGAATGACATGGATGTGGGATCTGTTTAGTCAACAATTTCAAGTGTTCTAGTAATGGGGTAATTACTTTCACTTAGAAATTAAATTCATTGACCCATTTCAAGAATGATAATATTTTGTGAAACAGACAGTTCAATAAAATTTGTTTTACGAAGACATAGATTAAGAAATCAAAATATTGTAACATATCAAAGAAAAAGGGGGTGGAGGAGGGACTGGTTTTACACGATATGAGGCCTACTTCCATTCAAGTTCAATTCAAAGCAATCCACTTCAATTAAACATTCACCCTGTGTCTGTATTTACAAAAAGTGAGTACTGCACTCTACTCACCCCCAGCAAATGTCACTGCCACAGCCTTTTGACTGTGTCCATGAGAGTTCATGGCGTACAAGGTGTATTCAACTGCATCATCCTTGGAAACAGAACAAATGGTTAGGGTGATTTTCTTGCCCACATTTTTGCCCGTCAAATCCTGAAAGGAATAGTAATAATAATAANAGTTGCCGAGTTTGGTAGTTAGTTAGGCCTGTAATAAAGGGCCGACTCTCTGTAACAGAAATGACTCTCTGTAAAACCTTACAGCACTCGGAAAATAGGACAAGCAATAAAAACTGTCCTAGATGAAAAAATACACACTTAGAAGTGTTATGCGATAGTTGCAACATACACTTTATTTGCTTTTAGGGCTGTTTTTCAGTGAAATGGAGTACTTTCTCTCAGTACATATTGTGTATAATACACTGCAATCGGATAATATGGTGTTGGGTTTAGATGGCAGCCTAGGATAATGATACTTTTGACTCCCAAAAGGTTGTAAATCTACCCAAAAGTCAGAAAAATCTCATCCCAAGTAACACTTGGAAGGACAGTGAATTGTCTCTTGTATAGAGAGCATCATCATCTCTCTCTCACACACACACTCACACACACACACACACAGAGAGAATGAGATGAACTGACAGTAGACCAAGCAATCCTAGCAGAGTCTACTTACAACTAACGGTGAGCGTCACTTCTACAGAACCTTGGTGTCTTGGGTTGGTGGCATCTGGGGTCTTCCAGGTACATTTCATCTTCTTGTTGGCATCCTGCACGCCCAGTGCAAACTTGTCGTTCTGGATTGCGGCGTCAGTAGTGGGATCCAGGGTAACCGAATTGAAATCTGTTTGGACAGAGTCCCCAATACTGAACCTGAGTTTTTGAGAGGGGAAAAACAAATAATTAAAGGTTATAAGCAAAACGTATTCAATCATACTATTAAATCTTAGTCTTTTAACCTTAAACTTGTTAAAACTTGTAATAAAATGTAAATATCGCTATTCTAAATAGTCATTCAAGGTTGTTTTTTTAAATCTAGAGGATTCTTTTGGTATTCTAAACCTAATGAAATTAGTTTTGAGAAATTTCATTCGCTTTAATAAGTTATAAGTGATAAATCACCTTAATGTGTTTGTCACTTACTCAAGTACTGGAGCCGGCTGACCGCCTAGAGCTGCACATCCCACAACCGACTCGACGCGATCCTCAAACATGTAGTTTTGGCCCCCTGAAATCTTGTTGCTTATATTGCCATGGTAAAGGAATACGTCTGTCGGAGGAGCTGGTAAGACAGAGAACACAAATACATTATCTCTTTAAACAGTGAACTTGTAAGGTATTCAGGGTTCAATGAAGGGGAGGAATTAGAGAAGGGGGGTGGGGGGATTGACCCTCCTCTGACTGTGACCCATTTCATTGTAGAGATATATACATGTACATCAGTGGCCGGTTCCATCAAGACTGGATAGTGCTATCCCATGGATAACACTAAATAAAATAGTTTTTCTCCGGACTGTTATCCTGAGGATAGCAGCTATTTTTTATCCACTGGATAATTTTTTCAGAAACTAATATAAGCACTTATCATTTAGAAAACATTACCTGTACATTGAAAGGATCGGTATTATTCTTACCTATGACAGTGACTACAGAGGAGAGAGTCTGCTGCACTGTACCACTGATGGAGAATGTACACTCATAGTTACCTGCATCACCTATTTCAATTCCTGGTAACAATAGAGAAAAAAACGGCATTATTTAATGACATATTAAAAAAACATGGCATAATTTAGTGGATGTTCATGCTTACAGTATGCACAGCTGTATATATATATATATATATATATATATATATATATATATATATATATATATATATATATATATATAGTCATTGGCGAAAGTCGTAAAAACATTCGACATTGGCTTAAAAAACAAAATATGTATTTTACCATCGCAAGTGGAATTTACCAGTCTTTGCTTCACTGCCAGAGTAACTCAAAAACTGCAAACTTAAAATCAAAAAAGAAAAAAAAATGTTGGGTTTATGAATATAAAAATTGCCCGTCATTTTGGATATGATATATTCCAATTCACAAATAGGAAAAAATTGTAGAAATTTCCAGTTAACGTAATGTTTTTGCTATATAAAATCTAAGGCTCAATGGAAGCCTTTTGGAAAAAAGCTACCGACTCCTTTACTCCATTTCATACACTACTTTATAACTAAAATTACATAACTACAATTACTCACCAGTAATACTTAATGTATATGCAGTACCACTCAAATCAAGACTGAAGCGACCAACAAAGTCCTGCTTGACTTCAAGAGAAGATGGATCCGCAATAGGGTTTCCGTCCTTCAGCCACTGCATGCGGAATCCAATCCCCCAGCTGCCATCGAAAGTACACGTCAGTTGAAGATCCTGCCCTGCGGATGTCGTTACAGATGGGATGTCAATTGAGATGGTATTTCCATTTGCTGAAATATAAATATATATACAAGTTTACATAATGAAAAATTACATCATTGCATCAACTTGTTGTCTTTATGTAATAGCTATAAAAGATAAAAGATTTCTATTATACTAATTTATTTCTATAAAAGATCAGTTCATAACAATTTCTTTGGGTGTAGACAACCCAAGCTGTACAGTCTTGTAGTTCAACAGCAATGGGACAATATCATCCTGAGCTGACAAGCAGCAGCGAGGACCATCATATCAAACAAACTTCTTCACATATTTAAAAAAGGGATGTTCTTGGGATATTCTTATAAAACAGCTAGATAAATACATAGAGATCATCTGCTTAGACCGCCTTTGACCAAGATGACAACAGGCAGAAAATCAATGATAGATGAGGAAGACCTTAATATATTGACTTTACACTACTATGGTAGATGTGAACTGTTCAATTGATACTATTGTGGTAGATGTGAACTGTTCAATTGACATATTGTGGTAGATGTGAACAGTTCAATTGATACTATTGTGGTAGATGTGAACAGTTCAATTGATACTATTGTGGTAGA